CCCCAAAACCCCAAAACCCCAAAACCCCTAATGGAAATTCTAATATTGGCTACACTGTGAAAAATAAAATTTAATCAAGAACGTCATCTGTTTGCAAAAGATGGACTTCTCTATCCTGAAATTTCCCTGATTTCTTTGCAATAGGAGGGTTAAAATCCTGCATTTCAATATATTCATGGGACGAGTGATAAGCCAATTTTTCAGAGAAATGTCTCCGAAGAGTGAGATTGTTGTTGACTCACTCTCTTTGGGTCATTCTGGAGGCAACAGGATGCTTGTTGCATTGCGGGTAGTTCTTTTCCAGGTCATAGATGAGAATCCTGTATGAGTAAATTTTGGAGAACTTACTTTTTCGTATCAGGAATGAAAAGCAAAGCTTGCATTTTGTTATTGATGAACACATCTCCAATCTTGTAGTTAAATCCTAGCTTAGGTAAGTTCACAAGTGCATTCGACTTGGTATTAAATATAAATACTGAGGTCATGGGACGAGAGATTTTTGGATGTCTTCCCACATCCTGCTTCCCACCAAGGATGAGAATCTCATCTGAGCTGATCCTTTTGGCGAAATTATTATGAACTCTAAATGGGGTCTTTATGCTCAGCTTCTCCCAAAAGTCGAAAGCAAAGCTGTACTTCTCAATAGTGTTCAGATCTTGTGGCTTGCTAACTCCATTGAATACAAAAATATGCTGATTAGCCACAAGAGTCGCAGCTCAATTGTATCTTTTCTGGACCATAGGAGCAATCTCAGAGAAGGTATAGGTTTTGAGTCATAACTTTTCACAAGAAGATAGGGCTCCTCCTTTTTCATTAAAACCCCCTATGATAAAAATCTGGTTCCTCTCTTTAGCATGCACAAGGCTAAAATATTGTCTTGGTTTGTTCATAACTTGATCCAATTGGCTGAGATTCCCCTTAAAGATCTTGAAAGCAAGATCTGATGCAATATAGACTTTATTTTCTGGGATTTCTCTGAGAATTAAGCTCTTTGCTACCTCCAAGTAGCACTACTTCATCAAATGATGTTACTTGGTACTTAAAATATTTCGGAAGGACAAAATTGGCCCGTTCAAAGGGATTCACCTTGCATGGTAAGAACTTGTGAAGAGAATCGTCATATTGGAGCATCTCAAAGTTGTACGTATTAAAGATCACTATTGGAAATACATGGTGCGAATTATCCCTGATCTCCCCTAACTTAGAGAAGGCCATGAGGTCTTCCTCATGTCCAACGAAAGTTGGACATTCAAAAGATCATGGTCTGAAATAAGTAATATCAGAAGGTTTCTGCGAAGCCTGCTGGAAGTTAGAGAGACAGGATCTATATCACTCCTTTGTCTCTTCATCGCTTGAGCTAGCAGAGTTCGAAGAAAGCATCTCTTCTATCTGCTCCAAGGTCTTGACTAAGACCTCATTGGAAGTTTCCAAAGAGGTTAGCTGATATTCAAGTCTATGGAGGGAGTCAAGTTTTGCGAAATTAACATGCCTTACCTCTGAATTTCAGATTTCTCGATTTTTTTGTATTTCTCTTTAAGAAATTCGCATCTCTTTTGAAGAGCCAAGAGAGCTTGATTGAAGTAGTCATCTATCTGGCTAAAAATGTCTTCTTTACTGCAATGAATCTCCTGGAGATTGGTTCTTGCAAGATCTATGTCAAAAGAGTTGTGAATAATTTTCTGGGAAATTCTTGACTTGAGAATCCTGAAATATTTTAGTAAATAATTGTTTTGAGCTTCAGATAACCTGCTTGTAGAATTCTAAATCACGTTAAACTAATATGGATATGGCAAATCCATAAACCTATATGAAATATTCAGTCTGGAGTTCATGCCTACCTCAGCGCTGTGGTATTTCCTGATTTGTGGATAATTCTTGTGTGCAAAATCTTCCTCCATTGGTAAGAAATCCTTAGCTTGCATCTGATAGTCATCCCATAACTCGGATCATTCTTCTGGAAGATCTAGCCTATTAGGTGGTCAGAAGGGAATCATGGACATTATGTTTTTTTAGTCAAAATAAGAACAAGAAGGAACAGAACTCTACCTTTCCTCAATAGTACTCTCCTGTGACGCCTCACTTGCCTCTTGGGACAAACTGTGAGGACCAAAGTAATCGTCTTTAATCATCATTTGTTTGAATAATATAATTATCACACGCGGGGTTTTGGGGTTTTGGGGTTTTGGGGTTTTGGGG